CAGGCCAGGGCTGAGAAGGGACTTGGGGTCCCGTTTCCTTAGAAACTATATTAATATAAATGTGGGAAGATCAGTCCGAAACCTCCTTAACAAACTCTACACCCCGCCTGGAAATAGAGACCGAATCTGTGGGTCGAAGGGTGGGGACTTAACGTTCTTACTGATAGGCTTTTAATTAGCAAAATGTCTGTGATGGATGATTTTAGAGAACGGGGTTCTCCGTAGTGTGTCCCCGATGTTAATAAACAGAGGCAATTTCCACGGGTCCCCATAAGTAAACCCAGAGCCTCCAAGGAGGGGCTGCATTAAGAGGGCGTGGCCAGTAGAACAGTACCCCCAACCCAGAGGCCCAGGTCCTGGTTTTCAAGACCTCACAGTGTATTACTTTGCATGGCAAAAAGTACTTTGCAGATACGGTTAAATTAGGGTTTGGGGAAGGAGAGGTTATGCTGGATTATCTGGTGGGTGCCTGTGATCACAAAGGTCCTTATCAGGGATAGGAGGAGGCAGCGTCAGAGTGAGGCGGCATGCGAAACATGGATGAGGCATTGCTGGCTTTGAAAATGGAAAGGGGTCATCAGACGGATGTGGGCGGCCTTCCAGAAGCTGGAAAAGTTAAGGAAACATTCTTCTTGAGCCTCCAGAATGGAATGCAGCCCTGCCAGCACAGCTTGATATTAGCCCTGTTGGATCCGTTTTGGACGTTTTGGACATCTGACTTCCACGACTGTAAAATAATAAGTTGTTTTAAAAGTCTGTGGTAATTTGTTACAACAGCTGTAGAAACACAGGGGCAAAAGAAAAATTGTTTCTTTTTAAAAAAATTTTTAATTTATTTGACGGAGAGATCACAAGTAGACAGAGAGGCAGGCCGAGAGGGGAAAGCAGGCTCTCTGCGCGGAGCAAAGAGCTGAAAGCAGGGCTCTATCCCAGGACCCCCAGCCGAAGGCAGAGGCTTAACCCACTGAGCCACCCAGGCTCCCCCAAATTGTTTATTTCAATCTCAACCTTCTTCAAATTCTGCAAGACCCAACCTGGGGCAGGTCACAGCCCCCTGAGTAGCCTTCACCTTCTGCCTAAGTTACAGACAGGGGGCCCAGAGTGCAGATTTTGGGGGCGGGCTTTGGGGTGTGGGGAGCAGTTCCCCAGGTGAGGCTGCAACACAACAGCCCTGTTCCTCTTCTGAAGCCTAGGCAAGTGGGGAGTGTTTCCTGCACACTGTCTGCTGTACTAGCTCTTCCTATCTAAGTACAGGACACTGATAGCACAGGTGCTGTAAGAATCAGAATTACATTCTCTCTTGGGAGGCTTTTTGTTCATTTGTTTATGCTTATTGAGCAGACACCCTACAATGATAAAATCACATGTGGCCCTTGCCTTCATGACATTCATAGTCTACTGGGGAAAAGAGGGGGAAGAATCCTGGGAACCACCAGGCAGGAGGAGGGGACTTGGGCAGGGGTGGCGCTGATGACAGAGGTGGAGGGAAGTGGGGGAGTTCACAGAGAATGCTTTTATGACAGGTTTTGACAGCAGGCAAAGTGAGGCCAAGGAAGAACATTCTTTCCATGTGCATACATTGTAAACATATTTGATGTCTTATTTTCATGAAACCAATAGTGTAAAAATTGTCACATAATAATCGAAGGCTTATGACATTTTCCTCTCCCATTTTATTTATTTATTTTTAAAGATTTTATTTATTTGACAGATAGAGATAGGCTGAGAGGCAGGCAGAGAGAGAGAGAGAGAGAGAGAGGAGGAAGCAAGCTCCCCGCTGAGCAGAGAGCCCGATGCGGGGCTCGATCCCAGGACCCTGGGATCATGACCTGAGCTGAAGGCAGAGGCTTTAACCCACTGAGCCACCCAGGCGCCCCTCCCATTTTATTTTTAAAAAAAGATTTTATTTTTTTATTTGACAGAGGTCACAAGTAGGCAGAGAGGCAGGCGGGGCGGGGGCGGGAAGCAGGCTCCCTGCTGAGCAGAGCCCGATGTGGGGCTCGATCCCAGGACCCCAGGATCATGTCCTGAGCCAAAGACAGGCTTTAACCCACTGAGCCACCCAGGCGCGCCTTACATCCCCCTTTTAACTTAAAGTAATTTAAGACTTTATTTTCTAAGATTTTGAGAACACAAGCAGGGGAAGCAGCAGGAGAGAGGGAGAAGCAGGTTCCCCATGGAGCTCTTCAAGTTTTAAGGTTAACCATTTAATGAGCAAAAAATCCGCATTCATTTTTTTAAAGATTTTGAGGAAGAGAGAGGATGCACGCAAGTAGGGGGGAAGGGCAGAGGGAGGAGTGGGCTCCCTACTAAGCAGGGAGCCCTACAACGTGGGTCTCAATCCCAGGACTCTGGGATCAGACATGAGCTGAAGGCAGACACTCAACCAACTGAGCCACCCAGGCGCCCCGAATGCATGTTGTTTTAATTAAGTTGCCTTACAGTTTTTTTTTTTTTTTAAGATTTTATTTATTTGCCAGAGATCACAAGTAGGCAGAGAGGCAGGCAGAAGGTGGGGGAGGTGGCGAAGCAGGCTCCCTGCTGAGCACAGAGCCCAATGCAGGGCTTGATCCCAGGATCCTGAGATCATGACCTGAGCAGAAGCTTAACCCACTGAGCCACCCAGGCGCCCTGCCTTAGTTTTTTTAAAAATTTCCTAAAAAAAAAAAAGATTTGAGGCTGGGGGAGTTGGTAACAGAAGATGAGGGTCTCAAGCAGACTCCGTGCCAGGCAGAGCCCATAGCCTGGCAGGGCCAATCCCAAGATACCAAGACCAGGACCTGAGCCAAAATCAAGAGCCGGACACTCGACTCACTCCCAGGAGCCCCTAGGTTGCCCTATAGTTCTGACACAGTATGCATACTTAAAAATTTACCTATGGGGCACCTGGGTGGCTCAGTTGGTTGGGCGGCTGTCTTCAGCTCAGGTCATGATCTCGGGGTTCCAGGACGAGTCCCACATCGGGTTCCCTGCTCAGTGGGGTCTGCTTCTCCCTCTAACCTCCCATGTCTCATGCTCTCTCTCTCAATCTTTAAAAATAAATAAATAAAGTTAACCTATGGATGGGAATCCCTTTTTTCATCATTTGGTATCCATTCTTTCATTCTGAGCAAGATGTTCACTATGAAACTATTTGTCAACCAGAACTGCCTGTGGGATGGGGATGGAGGTTGTGTGAGCGTGCGGACTTGAGGCTCCGGGTGTAGGCAACCATGCAACTGCTCTGAAGATTAGCAACACACATAACCACCCCCCCACCCAGAGCTTCTGCTTTGACAATTTCCTTTACTGTTCTTCATCCCCAAGGCCAGCTTGCTCAAGGACAATTAAAAAGCAAGACTTGGGGGCCCTGGGGTGGCTCAGTCAGGACTTGGGAGTCCTGGCATCCAGCTTAAGTTGGGTCAGCACCCAGTGGAGAGTCTGCTGAGATTCTCCCCCACCCCTGGCACACTGAAGTATCTTAAAAGAAAAAAAAAAAAGTGAAGATTTGAAATTACCAGGTATGTGTGGGGACAGAGAACCCAACTGAATGAGATTATAAATTCTCAAGTGCCCATTCACATATCTTAACTCCCACTTCCTAAATGCCCAGATACAATGGCACACATAGAAAGTAGATATTCAGTGCAAATCACATTCATGTACGTGTTCACTGAGCACCCCACCAGATGTCCTGAATGAACAGAAGTGGTTTCCCGCTGGAACAAAGGCAAGGAGGGGTGGTGCGGTGGCTGTCAATTAAGCATCAGCCTTAGGCTGGGTCCTGACTCCAAGGTCCTGGAATCCAGCCTCCCTGCCCAGCAGGGATTCTGCTTCTTCCCCTCCTTCACCCAGCCCCAATGTAAGCTGTGCTATCTCAAATCTTAAAAAGGGGGGGGAAAACCAGGTAGGATTATTCCACTCAAGGTGTATTTACACCAACAGCATAAATTGACAATGACTGGTCAAGCAAGGTAAGCCTTATAGCAGTTGACAGAAAATTTTTTTAAGATTTTATTTCTTTGGGGCACCTGGGTGACTCAGTGGGTTAAAGCCTCTGCCTACAGCTCAGGTCATGATCCCAAGGTCCTGGGATCGAGTTCAGCATCCTGGCCAGCATCAGGCTCTCTGCTCAGCAGGGAGCCTACTTGTGATTTGTCCAAAAATAAACAAAAAAAAACCAAAAACAAAAACCCCACACACAGCAAAGTACTGTATTATTAAAAAATCTGTACTTCTTTGTCAGAGACACAGCCAGAGAGGGAACACAAGCAGGGAGAATGGAAGGAAGAAGCAGGCTTCCCACTGAGCAGGAAGCCTGATTGGGGGCTTGATCCCAGGACCCTGGGATCATGACCTGAGCTGAAAGCAGACATATAACTGAGCTACCCAGGCATCCCCAGCTGACAAAATTTTAAGTAGGTTCCATGCCCAGTGTGAAGCTCAACACAGGGCTTGATCTCATGACCCTGAGACATCAAACTGGATGTTTAAATAACTATCCGGGGACCCCTGAGTCACCTGCATGAAAGAACCCAGAGAATTCCAGAAAAAGGGCATGTAGGCAGGCCAGAGGTTCACTACACGAACAGAAATGCAAGGGCTGTAGGCCTGATCCTACAGGAAAAGATGCCACAGAAACCATGTTGAAGTTTTGTATGCAGATAAGTGCAATGAAACACCAAAATCTGACACTTTTTTTTTTTTTAGTCTAAGGGATCCCTGATGGTCATGCCCCACTGGCTCCTAGTGCCTTCAGGTAAGCCTGCTAAAGTCATCACCCACACCCATTTCACACAGTACAGCACAACAGTTGACGGTGGGGAACCTTAGATCTACTGAGGTTCCCTGAACAATGCTTCCCCAAGCTAGACCACAGTAGGCAGCCTGCCACACTAAACAATGCTGACAAGGGCAAATTCCCCAAGATTATTTCCTTCTGCTCCGCCAGACACTCAAAACACATGAACAACAATAAAGGTCCAAACTTTTATTTAGAAAGGTTGAAACAACTGTTATGTTCACTTCTACTAGGTTGTACAAAAAATAACCTGAAAACTTCCTTTTGATAGTCCTGAAGAACTGGATTCCTGTAGAGGGGGAAGGAAAAAAAAAAAAAAGGTGAATTTTTCTTTCTAGGTAATAATGTAATATGTTCGGCCTACCCTTTAAACTAGTTCACCTTAAAAAACCTGCCTCCAGGCATACCTTTTCTGTTTATCTTTCTCTATTAAATTCTAAACACCAATTTTTGAATAGACACTAACCTAGGATACAGGCCGTGTTCTTTCTTCAGACCTGGAAAACAAATATATTCAATTTCAAAAAGAAATTTATCACTCTTTCCCATATTTAGAAACCCCTTATGATCCCTCAGACAGTTCCTTCTGGAACAAGTTTCCTCTTTTCCCCCAGCCAGCCCCAGTGGGTTCACCTTTACAGGCTCTGGGACTAGGACAGGAGGTAGGACATGTGACTGTTTCTTCACTGGGAAGTTCTAGTTTGGGCCACCCTGCACCTACATTTACTCACCTCTGACTTCAGACTGGAGCCCAGCAGAAAAATAGCTCAGGGTTCCTGCAAAAGAATAATTGAGAACTAAGCCTCTCAATCATCCCTAGGGGTCTCTACTGCTTAGAGCAAAGGCATTATCTGTAAAGGCTTTGTCAGTTTCACCATGCATATTTTACAGTAACCACCAGGTAGTCCACAGAACTTCCTACTGGCTTAAATGCCACTTGATAAAACTTTCCACGGCTGTCACTTCATTCTAAGACAAGCTCACAGCTCAGAAAATACCTTTCAGTCACAGTGATCAGACTGGGGCGGTATTGAATTCATCACTGGTGAGGGGGAGCTTGTCGCAGGTGGTTCAGAAGGGTCAGAGACAAGACTCTGTAGTAAGCCAGTCATGTCTTCTTACAGCTACCCAAGAAAAATGCCACCCAAAACACACACCCACACACACCCAAAAACACCTGGCAAATTTTATACAGCAGCTAAAAGACAGTGTTACAAAGGCATTTACCTCAAGTCACTCTTGGGCTCCACACAAGGTACTAGACCTGAAACAGTTAAGACCAGAGTCAGTAATGCTTACCTCCAACAAAAGTTGTTCCCACTTAAAATTATCATTCCTAGGAGAATCAGACTTCCGAGTCTCAACAGCAAGTCATCAGCCGAACGAGATTCCATGTAAGTCATCATGCATTTAGGCCCTCAAAAGGCTATTTTTTCTACCTGATATGCTCCACGTACCACATATATAAACATCTCACCTCTGAACAAGCAAGCAGGTTATGGTAACAGCACCTAGAAAAAGATGAAAGTGTAGGTGTATAAAAAGCCCTTCCACATAGCATCCCTCTGCTCCTGCCTTCACCAGTTTCTCAGGTGTTCACTTATTTTCATTGTGTAAGTCATAGTGAGCTAGTTTGATTCATCACGGAAACTGCCTATTTGGGGCATGAACCATAGACATTAATCGACTAACCTGTTAACTCTGGAGGCTTTGGGGTAACACACAGGAACAAGCTGCTTCTGAATGAGAAAATTACAGAATTAGTAAAGGATCTAAAACAGCCAAGTCCATTCTAGCTATGGTTAACAGATTTAAGCTAAGAAAATGCTACTGACAGGCATATGCTGTACCTCAGACAGTTCCTTATGGAACAAATTCTCATCCTCTCTCCCAGCTAGCCCCAGTGGGTTCACCATTACTGGCTCTGGGGCTATGACAGGGGTAAGACAAGATGCTTGCTCTCCTCACTGGTACATACTCTGCCAAGCCACAACCACTAAGGTTACAAGTACTCACCATCCTTAACACTTGCCAAGAGTTCAACCCTGGGCAGAGTCTTGAATCAACATCTAGAGGATGTTCAAGGGACCCCTGGCTGGCTCAGTCCATGCAACATGTGACTCTTGAGCTCGAGGTCATGAGTTTGAGCCTCACGTTGGGAATGGAGTCTACAATAAATAAAAACAAGTCTCTGGTCAGAACAACAAAAACAAGCACGATGATAAAAACCATCCTTTGGATACTGAACTCATATATATGCTTACTTATCACAGTACTGTCAGAAGCTACTTACCGTAGAACAGATGGAATGTATCACCATCAGGACAACCTGCAAAAGCGGAACAAATGGTTATCTAAAAATACAAACTGGAGTAGAGTTTCTTCCTTAACAAAACTGCCATCAGAACTCTAACATGCTATAAATTGTCGCACCTCACAGAGGATCAGCGTATCTATTCAAATCATCTGACAGTGACATGGGTGAGGGAGAGCACACCCTCCCAAGAACTGTACTGTTGGGCGGCTCTCCCTCCACAGCAACATCATTCCCAGAGGAACAAGCTGGAAGGAGCAAAAAGGCAACACGGCTCCACTGGCCATTTGCTCTCCCGGTTGTAGGCAAAACCGGAGAGGACACTCCAATCCCCCATTTCAACAGTTAATTACCTGTATTCACCCAGGCAGACGGTTGGGTTCCTCAGGCCTAGTGATGAGATGCTAGAGCAGAAAAGACAGGCATTATGATGTACCGAAGAAGAATCGCTCACAGACCCTTGAGTACTCCTGGCCCACTTCTCAGCAGGAAGATGACATCACTTTAAGTTCAGCCATATGCTTGTCTTTTTTATGTTCATCATTGAGTGGTCAGCACAATTTGGAGGAGAGCAAACCCCACCAGACCCCAGGCCCACCCACACCTGCAGAAATCGCCTCATACCCACCTGGAGCATCACAGTGAGGCCTAGTTTGAACGGATCATGTGATAGGTCTTGCCTCACCCTCAAACCTCTAGGGTCTTTAGAGCCGAACCGCATCTGAAAGAAACCGAGGAGCACCCCTCACTTAGTGCCGTACCTTGCAGCCCATCTCACGTTCGTGCCCTAACACTTCCGCGCCGAAACCCCACACGTCTGCTGCAGGGTGGTGCTACTCAGAGTTTTTATGTTTTCTCCACTGAGCCATCAGAAAGAGAGAGTTCAATTTAAGTATCATCCCCGTAGCACACCCCAGGGCGCCTGCGTCAGCTGCACAGTAGAGAAACAGCGGGAAAGGATGACCACAAACACCTACCCACGCAAGTCGGCTCTTCTCCATTCTCCAGCGTTCAAAGGTGCGCCCGAACCCTGCAGACAAAGGGACATTAAATCAACACCCGTGACTTCACGTTCGCTTTGTCTTCCGGAGCTGCGGCTGTGCGGGGCTCGGGCTGTGCAAGGCCCGTCTCCTCAGAGAGTCTTATCCTCACGGAGCTCAGTACAGGTCTGTGAAGAGGTTCTCATCACAGAGAGGGCCGCCGCCACGGCCCGCCGTCGCCATTTTGTCCTTTACAAAGCTCCGCGGCGGCTCCGCGAATTCAAGGCCATGGCCAAGACCTTAATCCTCCCACGCCAACCAGTAAACCCAGCCTAACACGCTCAAGCGTGCTTCGCTCACTTGACTTATGAAAATAACGCAAAAAAAAAAAATCCCACACTCACCGCACTCCGTGGTAAAATGAGACCGAAGGGCGGCGGCGAGATACTTAAATAGCACCTCGCAGAGGCCCACGGGACTTGTGGGCGGGACTATAGCGGACGCAGGCGTATAGAAAGAGGGCGCGCGGGGGGGAAAAAAAGAGAGGGCGCGCGAGCCCGGGGAGTTGTGGGTAGAGAATTCCAAGGAAGGCGGGAGTGCGGTGCGCACCGTCAGGAGCTGGGGCGGGAAAAAGACGCGCATGCGCTTTAGGGAAGGGCGCGGTCGGCTTTGTGGTTATGGTTGGGGTCTGTACCGCTATCTTTCTCTGGGACCAGGACGCAGGAGCCGAGGCCTCGCACTGGTGGTGAGCGACGCACTGCCTCGGTCACCGGTGCCTGCACCCCCTGGCCCACCCACCCACCCGCACACACACACCCTAAACCGGTGTGTAGGCTCTGCCTCCACGGATCCCGAACCTCCTGAAGCCTCGACCGGTGTCATCTCGGTCCCGCGCCTGCCGCCCAGCGCCCATTCCAGGGCCGGTGCGCAGGGTTTCTGTGTAGCGGGTGGCTGGGGGGAGGTCCTTTGTATGGAGCCATTTTGGTAAAGTGAATCAGGCTGTAAGTGCTCCGTTTGAGTCTTCCGACAGGGTCTGATTTTTCCTGAGCTGCCACCTATGACCTGCTGTCTAGTCCGCTGTCGTTGGAAGCTTGGCTTGTAGTTGAGCTAATATTCGCTATCCTTGGAAGCACCGTTTTAAGCACACTACACGACTTGATTACTTTAGTTCTCCCAAATCCCAAGATAGCCCCATAACTAGCCCCATTTTATAGATACGGGACCCTAGATGCAAAGAGTTCTTACAGAGGGGCTTGCAACTCTCACCTGATCCTCAAGGTGGTTCCAGTCACCTCTAGACCATTCGGACCAACTAGCTTGGTTCATCAGCAATTTGTGGTAAGTAGTCGGTGTACTTGCCGGTTTCAGAAACATGGACTAAGTTCTGACTGTGTGCTCCTCTGTGTGACCTCACCTAACACTGCAACCCCGGGCAGGAAGCTATTAAGGTAATGTTACAGGTGAGGAACGTGAGGTCTACGGAGGTTAAGTAACTTGTGCGTGTTACCCATTTAAGAGATAATCAGAACCAAGCAGTCTGCAAATCCAGGCTATCTGATTCCATGCCCGCACATCTGACCGTTAGGCTTTTCGGCTCTCATCTTTGAGTTACTGCTCAAGGTAGTCAGGGAGCAGGCAAATGCACAGGAAACAAATGGAATGATCCCAGGGTTCTGTTTCTGTCTTTTTTGGTTGTTGTTGTTCCCCTTCCCCAGGAGCCTTAAGAAGACATTTCCCTCTCCAGTCCCACTCATGAAATTTTAATACCACTGGTATGCTGTATATTTGCTTATGTACCATGGCCCTTTGAAGGGCCAGAAACCTCTTTAATATCTAAGATTTTTTCTGTCTCTCCCCCTGCCAAACCAATTGTCACTCTCGGGGCAACAGTGTCCCTATGTGTGTCCCAGGGTACCCTAACAAGTATTCACAACTGAGAGAATTCCAGCTTGAATACATTTAAGGACCGAAATAAATTTATTTATTCAGCAAATATTAATTGCTTGCTCAACTACATGGTTGAAAAATTATAACAAAGTATATAGAAGATGCGGGGGTAAATGACTGACTCCGTTGAAGGAGTGAGTGGTTCCTGATCTCGGGGTCCTGAATTCAAGCCCCACGTTCAGTATAGAAATTACTTAAATAACCAAAAAAAGCCCGAAATATTTTACATATGTGTGTTTGTGTGTGTGTTTTGTGTATGAAACAGTTAAACTATGAACAATTCAGAAGGTCCACACTAGGCAGATAGGATATAGAGGGGTTGTGTGTGGAAATGGGAGTTGGGAAATGCTTTATGGAGTGCCTAGGCCTTGAAGAGTAGATTAAACAGACTACAGGGGTGGGGGTAGGTGGGGATTCCAGTTAAAATTTGAGCGCAGGGAGCACCTGCATGGCTCAGTCGTTAGGTGTCTGCCTTCGGCTCAGGTCATGATCCCAGGGTCCTGGGATCGAGCCTTAGGTCAGGCTCCTTGCTCAGAGGGGAGCCTGCTTCTCTCACTCCTACTGCTGCTCCCTCTGCTTGTGTTCCCTTTCTCGCTCTCTGTCAAATAAATAAAATCTTAAAAAAAAATTGAGCACAGGCTTGGAGCTGGAACGGAAAGGAAGTGTATGAGTGTAATTTATGAATGATGGGCTGGAGGGGAATCGTAGAATATAAAACTGGAAAAGATTTCCTGGGGAAGGCCAAATGAGGAGGGTCTGGAATGCAAAGATTATATGAACCGTAGATGATGAGGGGAAAAAGATGAAAGTTTTTGAGCAGGGAGGTGATAGGAAACTGAGAGATGAGATGCAGACAAGGACATTAGATTGTCCGAGTAGTTTAGGCAACAGGGAAGTGGATTCTGTACTAACAAGTGTACTGGCAATGGGAATGGAAAGAGGGGATTTAAGTCAGGGATCTCCAACTGACATATGTGCAGATATGTAAATAATGCCCCAAAATGATGATATGAACTGGTGGGGACAGTGGCAAGCTAGGCCACTTTTTAGCCCAGTTGGTTGTTGCGTTGCTAAAATAGTGTTTCTGTGTGAAAAATCTAACCAAGAGGATCCAGAAATCCAGAACTGTATATTAATTTGTCCATTTTATTTTATTTTATTTTAAGATTTTATTTATTTATTTGACAGAGATCACAAGTAGGCAGAGAGAGAGAGAGAGGGAAGCAGGCTCCCCACTGAGCAGACAGCCCAATGTGGGGCTCGATCCCAGGACCCTGGGACCATGACCCAAGCCGAAGGCAGAGGCTTTAACCCACTGAGCCACCCAGGCGCCCCTAATTTGTCCATTTTAATGGCTGCCATCTAGCCTGGAAATTTTAAGCACGTTGTATAAGGCAATCCAAATATGCCTGTGGGTCAAAGGTAGCCTAAGTGTGAGTTTGCAGCCTCTTGTGTCGTGACTAGAAGGTGGGGGATGCCGAAAACTGGTGGTTCTATTTGGAAGCTACAAAGGGGTTAAAGGGAATAAGCACTAAACAAGGCAGTGTTCTTGGCCATTGAAGATCACAGGTGACATTCAGTAATATTTATTCTGCCAGTATTTATCTGTTGAACACCTGCTAGGCGTAGGAAATACAACAAGGAACGAAGCAGACAGTCCCCTATGCTCCCTTGGAGCTTCTTTTCTGGTGGATGGACACAGAGGAACAAATGATGTGTCAGGTCGAGTGGAATGCTGTGGTAAACGTGAAGCAGGGAAGGAGAGAGGGAGTGCTGGGATCAAAGGGAGAAACTGTCATGTCACTCAGAGAGGGTCTTCCTGACTTCCTGATGAGGGGGATGTCTGTGCAGGACGCTGAAGGAAATGGAGCCCAGAACCACCTGGGGTAGAGTGTTCCAGGGAGAAGGACAGGAGGGCTGGGCTCTGCTCACTGACTTGTACGTAACATAACAGGTCATGAGTAGGATTTTTTTTAAAGATTTTATTTATTTATTTGACAGAGAGAAATCACAAGTAGGCAGAGAGGCAGGCAGAGAGAAGGGGGGAAGCAGGCTCCCTTCTGAGCAGAGAGCCCCATGCGGGGCTCGATCCCAGGACCCTGAGATCATGACCTGAGCCGAAGTCAGAGGCTTAACCCACTGAGCCACTCCGTTGCCCATGAGTAGGATTTTGGAAACAGAACTGGGGAGATTTTGTGTATGTCAAGGGGAGATTGAAGTTTGGTGGAAATAACGCAAGTTTCATTATCCACGGAATAAATGAACACTGAATTTTTTTTTCCTTTGGATAAGAAAGGAGATTGTTCTGGAAGTGAAGAATGTAGTAGTCATATTAAATGAAACGTGTGTGTGTGTGTGTGTGTGTGTGTGTGTGTGTGTAAATACATTTATGTGGCCAGAATCAAAAGGCTTGGGTGTCAAGAAATGAGAAATGGGAACAGTGAGATGAAACAATCAGCAGAGGGTGTTAATGTTATTATATTAACATCTGGGGCTCGTGGGTGGCTCAGTTGGTTAAGGCTTTGACTCTTCAGCTCCAGCCATGGTCTCAGAGTCAGGTGTGGAGCCCTGCATCCAGCTCCCTGCTCAGTGGGGAGTGTGCTAGAGGTTCTCTGCCTCTCTCTTTGTCCCTCCCCGCCCTGTGCTCTTTTTCAAATAAATAAACAAATCTTAGAAAAATATTAATATCCATTAACTGCTTCCCATGGCACCCAGGGAAGGTAGTATACTAAGTGCTTTATGTGAAGTATTACCTCAGTTCGAAATTAGTTTTTGGGTGCTTGGGGGCCTCAGTCAGTAGAGCGTGCGGTTGGGGGGTTGTGAGTTCAAGCCCCACTTTGGGTGTGGAAGCTACTTGGAAACGACAACAAAAATCTCATCCCTGGGGACGCCTGGGTGGCTCAGTTGGTTAAGCGGCTGCCTTCGGCTCAGGTCATGATCCCAGCGTCCTGGGATCGAGTCCCACATCGGGCTCCTTGCTTGGCGGGGAGCCTGCTTCTCCCTCTGCCTCTGCCTGCCTCTCTGTCTGCCTGTGCTTGCTCACTCTCTCTCCCTCTGTCTCTGGCAAATAAATAAATAAAATCTTAAAAAAAAAAAAAATCTCATCCCTGGTTTACAGGTAAGAATACTGATGGGCGCCTGGGTGGCTCAGTGGGTTAAGCCTCTGCCTTCAGCTCAGGTCATGATCTCAGAGTTCTGGGACTGAGTCCCGCATTGGGCTCTCTGCTTGGCAGGGAGCCTGCTTCCTCCTCCTCTCTCTCTCTGCACCTACTTGTGATCTCTCTCTGTCAAATAAATAAAATCTTAAAAAAAAAAAATAAAAGAAAACTGAGTATTAGATCGTTACTCACCCAGGGACACAGAGCTACTGTGGTTGAGCTGTGATTCAAACCTGGTCTCTACTTTTGACCCTGTTAAAATTTTTTTTGCCTTTTTCCAAAAATTGGAGAGAGGCCAAAGTGATTGCTCGGCATCCTTCTGATGTTGTAAAGTGAGCCAACGCATCTTTGGGGTTATCTGATTTTCTAGGGAGTGTGTCCTTTTTTTGGACTTCCTATTTACTCTTGATTTGTTTATTTTATAATTCTGTGATATCCTTGTGTGACATTAGCCAGTTTTATTTTATTTTTGTTTTTTTTATTAGCCCATTTTATATCTACCTATGAACAAATTCTTATCAGCATTCTTGACTGATGGATTCGAAAATACTCCTTTCCTAGAATTCTCCTTTGAACCAGTCTTAAATCTTATTTGTTCTCTCATTAGTAGGTTGCATAAAATCTTTCTTTTTAAAAGGTTTTATTTATTCATTTAACAGAGAGAGAGTGAGTGAGCTCATATGCAGGGAGAGCAGCAGAGGGAGACAGAGAAGCAGGATCTCTGCTGAGCAGGGAGCCTGATCCAGGGCTCCATCCTAGGACTTGGAGGTCATGACCTGAGCTGAAGGCAGATGTTTAACCAACTGAGCCACCCAGGCACACCTTTCCTGTGGTTTTTACAACAAATTTTATCTGGCTCCCTGGATCTGGTTTCCTCCCTTTTAATCAATCCATTCTCTACCTTGTAGCAGAAAGATCTTTCCAAATAAAACATTTGTGGTCAGGTCTCACTTCTCAGCTCATAATCCTTCAGTGCCCTTCCATAGTCTTTAGGCTAAAGACCAGGCCATCAATATAGCTGTCAAGACCCTTGCTTTTCTTGCCAGTTTTTTTTTTTTTTTTTTAACTCCCCTGGTCCCTCCCCAAGCCTGATCCACCCTGCCGCCCATTGTAACTCTTTTAGGTTCAAGATCATGTCTGTGGAAATCATCATTATATTCTTGCTGCCTGGCAGAATGCAAGACACTAAGAAGGACTCAATATATTAGTTTATCTCCGTAAATTTCGAATGACCTTTTTCCAGCTCCAATTCATTTCGCTACAGGTGGAATGAGCTCCTTGCTTAGAGGTCCGTCGAGTTCGCTCAGGGAGCAACCCTGCCCTCAGGTGGCTACGAGAGGCACTGCCTCCCTAAAGGGAGGAGGAGGATATGCAAATAACCATGGCTTTGCTAGGAATTGGGAGACCGGCCAGCAACCTCAGTGGAGAAACGATCCAAGTTTGATAACAGAATTATCAGGATTGTGGTGAAGCATGACCTTGGGAAGCATTAGCGTGGTTTCAGGGAGATGAGGATGTTGAAAAGTATAACGACGGGCTCACGTGCTGTGTTTGTAGACCCGAGGGAGGAAGGTTTGGGACAGAAGGGATGATAGAGGGTTGATACCGGTATTAGCGATTCTCGGCCTTTTGGCTAAGATCAAGTGTGGTATCTGTTCTTACCAGTTTAACATCTGATGCGTCCTCTATCTGGGAACAATGTATTCCACTGATTTTTGGAGTGGGAGCTGGAATGGGAGCTTGCTTTTCGCACTCCACGCATCATTTCCCTGGTCCCTGGGTGTTTAATAGGGTTGATGTACTTGGAGTTGGATTAACCTCACATCAGGTGTCCGAGGCCTTGGAAGAAGAGCTACCACAGTGGGAAGGACAAAGAGAAATCTCTGAAACTGCCCAGTCCTCATTCCAGGGATGTCTTTTCTTCCCATTCTCTCCTTAACCCCTTGCACTCTGGCTCTGGTACTGGCCCCTCCACCAAGGCCACTACTGATCTTACTCACTTAATCCCAGAAGATACTTTCATCTTTTTTTTTTTTAAGATTTTATTTATTTGAGAGAGTGAGAAAGTGAGAGACAGAGCATGGGCAGAGGGGAGGGTCAGAGGGAGAGGGAGAAGCAGATTTCTTGCAGATCAGGGACCCCAATGCAGGGCTTGGTCCCAGGAGCCTGGAATCATGACCTGAGCCGAAGTCAGACATTTAACCGACAGATCCACCTAGGCACCCCCTGCCCCCTTTTAAAGTAATCTCCACACCCAACGTGGGACTGGAACTCAGGACCCCAAGACCAAGAGTCACATGGTCCACCACAGAAGCAGTCAGGTGCCCCAATACTTTGTGCTTCTTGACCTCTCAGCATTTGACATTGTTGACCTGCCTTTCTTCCTGAAGTGCTCTCCATCCTTGCTTTCTGATACCCTGCACTCTCCTGGGTCTCCTCTTGCTTCTTGAGCATTTTTCACTCTCTATCCCTACACGTTCTTCAGGGTTCTGCCCCAGTCCACTTGTTTTCTCACTCACTATGCTCTGCCTAGACCAACTTACCCGGAACCTTGGCCTCATTTACCATATATATGCTGCCATGTCCCCAACATTGTCTCAACCCAGGATCTCCTGAACTGCACACCTTTGTATTTAACAGTCTGCCAGACATCTTTGCTGGGATGGCCCATAACCAGCTCAGCTTGTCCAAATCTGAATTCATCATCTTTTCCTACAAATCTGTTCCTTCTCCAATGGGCCCTCTCTTGCTCAGTTGTCTAAACCAGGTGTGGTCATTATCTCCAGTGCTGATAAACCATAAGTGGTCTCCAGCCAAAGACTTCCAGGAACGTATTTGTATTGGAGCAACATGAGTTTATTGCTTGTTACAGCGAGGAGGAACACATACCACGGGAAACCACAGGGTGTCTCAGTAGGAGGCTGTTAGAACTTATTTTAGGATCTGGGCTTGTGTTAGGTGTTTTGGGAGAGGGTTTAAACAAGTGAGGCTTTACTTTGGGTTCGTTGCTTTTGGGAAGTGGCATTGTTTTATTATTGGGTATCTTTTTTTTTCCCAAGGATTTTATTTATTTATTTAACAGAGAGATCACAAGTAGGCAGAGAGGCAGGCAGAGAGAGAGGGAGAAGCAGACTTCCTGCCGAGCAGAGAGCCTGATGCGGGGCTTCATCCCAGGACCCTGAGACCATGACCCGAGCTGAAGGCCCACTGAGCCACCCAGGTGCCCCCTTATTCGGTATCTTAATAAGTCTTACCTAGGAGGAGGGAAGACCGTGGTCAGATGAGGCTAACCTATGATTGGTAAAGAAACAACAGTCACTCATATTAGCAGGATAGGGAGCTGTTTGGACTTTGTGATGTGGGCAGTGTTCATGTCTTTTCTGTGTTCAGATGTGATTATCGAATGAGCTTATTTTGACTTGACCCATCGTGATCAGAGTGGCCTTGTCTTATGTTGATGTTCTGAAATTATGTTCAACAGGAGAACACCAAGGCCTTGGTGTAAGTGCCAGGCCAGCTTCTAGACGTCAGCAGCTGCTTTTCTCCTTGTCAGTACCCTAGCTTAAGCCATTTGCCCCTGGATTTCTGCTGCAGATTCCCAACCTGGTTTCCTGGGTCTGACTTTACCTCCTTCTCCTCCTTCTCTCTCTCCTTCTTCTTCTTCTTCTAGTTTATTTTTAAGTAACCTCCACCCAATGGGGGGGTTGAACGCACAACCCCAAAATCCAGAGTCCTATGCTCTACTAACTGAGCCAGCCAGGCACCCCTGACTTTACCCCCTTCTAATCCATTCTCCATATTATAGCCAGGGTAGTCTCTCTCTCCCTCCCTCCTACCCTCCTTCCTTTCCATCCTTCCTTCCTTCCTAAGATTTTTTATTTGAAGAGAGAGCTCAGAGGGAGAGAGAGAGGGAGAGGCAAACTCCCCGCTGAGCAGAGAGCCCAACACAGGGTTTGATCCCAGGACCCTGAGACCATGACCCGAGCCAAAGGCAAACGCTTAACTGATTGAGCCACCCAGGTGCCCCCAGAATGATCTTTTTTTTTTCTTTTAAAAAAGATTTTATTTATCTATTTGAGAGAGAGAGCATGAGCAGGGGAGAGGGCCAGGGGGAGAGGGAGAAGCAGACTCCTTGCTGAGCAAGGAGCCAGACATGGGGCTCTATCCCAGCACACTAGGATCATGACCTGAGCTGAAGGCAGACGCTCCACCCACCAAGCCACCCAGGTGCCCAAAGTGGTCTTTTTTCTTTCTTTCTTTTTTTTTTTTTTTAAAGATTTTATTTATTTATTTGACAGAGAAAGATAGAGATCACAAGTAGGCACAGAGGCAGGCAGAGAGAGAGGGAGAAGCAGGCTCCCTGCTGAGCAGAAAGCCGGATGCAGGCCTTGATCCCACGAGCGAGCGGAGACCATGACCTGAGCTGAAGGCGGAGGCTTAACCCACTGAGCCACTCAGGAGCCCCATTTTTCAGTTTTAATGTCACTTCTGCATTCCTTTCCTTGTGCTACTTGACCCATTAACCACGTCCCCGAGGGCAGAAATCGCATCTGTATAATTTATTTTATAGAACAAGGCATCTATTTTGTAGAACAAGGCATGACACTGGAATTCACTGAACGCCTGCGCTGTGCTTTGAGGTAAGCTCCTGATGAGGTTGTTAGGGGAAATACCTCAACTGTAGACCGCTTCCTCGCCAAGGGCAGCTCTTCGAGGATGGAAGCAGTGTCTGCCCCCTGCTGGCAGCAAGAGGCACTGCCTCCGTTAGCGGAGAAGGCATAGGCATAGGCAAATGAGCCGTGCTCTGCTGAGAGCTGGGACGAGGGCTTTCACCTCTGGGAAAAATTCAATTTGAGAACAGAATTTCTCAATTCTGCCAGTGGGAAGGTCTCCCAGGGAAGGATTAGACGGGTTTTTGGAAGAGTTGAGATGTGTAATTTTATCAGGGACAGCTTTAAGCCTGCTTTTATTGCCTTGAGTGAAAATTTGGGAAGCAAGTTGTGATGGGAAACTTAATTGTAGGTTGTTTTGTTTTTTTGGTCCAAGATCATGAAGAGCAAGTGTTCTTATCATTTAATGTTTTGTAAATCCTCTACCTGAGGGTACTTTATGAAGTGGATTTTTGGAACGGGGAGATCTAGTGGAGGCTGGCTTCGTCCATTCCACAGACCAATCTGATACCCCAGTATCTCCGTGAATGGTATGGTTCTCCCTTTCAGGATAGTTGTCAGTTAAAATGCAGACTGTCGGTACTCCACAGTGTCTTCTGGTTTTTGAAATAAAAAATTTAAGGTGAACCTGCTGTTTCCCCTCTTCCTTTCATGCTTTATTTGTGATGCACATTTTGTCTTTTCTGCCCTGGTTCTTTAAGATTTAGTCATTTGTAGTATTCTATTGAGAAATTTTTAGAAATTATTTTGTCCCCTGGTGATAGGCATTTTTTCAGATGACCAAATATTTAATGCTTTAACCAATGCTGTATGAAATCTTTTGTATGTTGCTTTGTGGACATGTATGAGAGTTTCTCTGGGCTGTGAATCTAGAAGTGACATTTCTGGATAATAGTAAGGGTATTTTCAGTTCTATAGACTGTTGCAAATTGCCCGCAAATCCTGAATTGCAATTCTCCGCTATTCCTGAATAATCCCATCCTTGCTGGCAAAATAACCGACAGTATTATTTTGAAGGTTAACAGTTGTTAGTATAAATGGCAACTTAAAAAAACATTTTTGGGGTACCTGGGAGGCTCAGTTGTTAGGTGTCTGCCTTCAACTCAAGTCATGATCCCCGGGTCCTGGGATCAAGCCCTGCATCTGGCTCCCTTCTCAGTGGAAGCCTGCTTCTCCCTCTCCCACTCCCCCTGCTTGTGTTCCCTCTCTCCCTGTGTTTCTCCCTGTCAAATAAATAAAATTTTAAAATCTCAAAAAAATTTTTTTCTAGTTGTTTGCTCCTGACATGCAGAACAATTGTTTTGTGTCTGGTTTTTATTGAACTCTTATTCTAGTAATTGGTGGATTCAATTTGATTTTTCTTTTTTTTTTAAATATTTTATCTTTTTTTTTTTAAAGATTTTATTTATTTATTTGACAGAGAGAGATCACAAGTAGACAGAGAGGCAGGCAGAGAGAGAGAGGGAAGCAGGCTCCCTGCTGAGCAGAGAGCCCGATGCGGGACTCGATCCCAGGACCCTGAGATCATGACCTGAGCCGAAGGCAGCGGCTTAACCCACTGAGCCACCCAGGCACCCTAATATTTTATCTTTTAAGCAATCTTACACACAACATGGGGCTCGAACCTACAACCCCGAGATCAAGAGTTTCTTGCTCTACTGACTGAGACAGCCAGGCACCCCTCACCTTGATTTTTCTGTACAGAATTTTCTGCAACTAAGTAAAGAAAAACACTTAAGTCTCAATTTTTCTTGCAAATTGAATGTTAGTGGATGCCTGGGTGGCTCAGTTGGTTAGGCATCTGGCTTTGGCTCAGGTCATGATCCTAGTGTCCTGGGATCAAGCCACTGCATCGGGCTCCCTGCAGCGGGGAGCCTGCTTCTTCCTCTCCCACTCCCCCTGCTTGTGTTCTTTCTCTCTGTCAAATAGATAAATAAAATCTTTTTAAAAAATTGAATGTTAGTTACTTATAAAAGTGTTTTGTAAATTACTGGTAGTAAACTAAATGTGAGACCTGAAACCATAAAAAACTTGTAAGAGAACACAGGCAGTAAGGTCTCTGACATCGGCCATAGCAACATTTCTTTTAGATAAGTCTCCTTAGACAGGGAAATAAAAGCAGAAATAAACTACTGAG